TGCTGATGGTTATTGAACTTGATTATTGAATATTAATACAGAAGTTCTACTAATCACTGATTATTTCTCTTAAACTCCTTGGCATGTGCTGAAAGCAGACCAGATTTTTAAGCCTTGAAATGTGTCTAGTAATATAACCTTATCTTCGTTTTTCTCCAGGTGGTTTGGGCTACTACATCCCAGGTGGGCTGTGGCACCCAGGATTGTGGTGCAAAACACGTGACCACATGTAATTACCGAGTTGCGTAAGTTAAGATTGCTCCCATTGATACCAAGAAAGAATATTGTATCCAGTTCTCGTGTTTAAGTGCATATCGTCAGTCAAATTAATCAGCGTTTGTATTTTTACTATTGCCAGTGGTAATACTCCTGGACAACAACCATATCAGAGCGGGTATCCATGCTCACAGTGTACGTCCCCAAGCTGGTGTGAGGACAAGTTGTGCAGTAAGTATCCACTTAAAGGGCGGTAGTCGTCGTACCACGCATGCGCGATGTATATATGGGTCTCACATAAACAAAGATGGCGACTTTGACTGTTTGCAGATCAACGAGTACAAACTGAGACGTTACCAAGCTTTAATTAGATTTGTTTTAGGTGATTGGAAGTGTCGAAGGGGTCACCGGCGGTAATTAGTGTAAGTTGCACTCAGCTTAAACCTCATACTTGTGATTCCCATTAGAAAAATGCATTGGATTGTGGGAAAATCAATGTTTATCAACACAAATGTCGCACATGCGCAGCGCGACAACCACTGCCCTTTAAACAAACATATTACTTTCATGTTGTTTTTTTTGTCAAGTAAGTCTCGACAATCAATAAGCCGATTTTAATTTGTTCTCAGACCCTGGCTGCCTTACGAATGGAGAGACCGACTGTGGTGAGTAGTGATCGTGTCACGTGACCTAAAAAAAAAAACAGTTTAAAATTAATTCGAGTTGCTTCTAATAATTGTTTCTCTTTCGTAGAGTGTACTTTGTTGTGCCTGAATTGCGCCACCACCGACTGGGATACTTGTTCATGTTCGTGTAACGTAGGCTGGATGGGAATTGATTGTTCAGGTCAGGTTTTTAAGGCTTTTAATAATCGTTATTTACTTCAGGAAAAGATAACAATATGGGACAGTCTCTGCAACTATCAATGTGTTCTTGCACATGTCCAACGTAGGCCATCTGTGCAGGAGTATCGGCGGGGGAGTCGTCACCTGCGCATGTGTCAGATGGTCATAGCCACAGTCAGCTGGCGCACACGTGATAATAAAATAAATACGATATTTACTATATGGGGGCCGCCATCTTGAATGACGCAATAAACTAAATAAGAGACAAGTTGCGAAACGCGTTTTTCAGATTCCTACAAATCTGGACAAAAATACCAATCTTTCACAAAAATACGGTCCGTTGGGGTTATATTAAGCCAACAGATAACAAAATTCGGCCGAATTCGTCGTTTTTGTGTGGAAAAATCTCTTGCATACGAACACCTAATTACGCGAAGAACCTAGAACACTAAGCCGGGGTATTTGAAACCGAAATTGTCATCTAAGCGTTAAGTCGTCGCTGATTGGCTGCTGTGCTGGAATGCCAATTTTTAGTTTCAAATACCCCCGGCTTAGTGTTCTAGGTTCTTCGCGTAATTAGGTGTTCGTATGCAAGGGATTTTTCCACATAAAAACGCCGAATTCGGCCGATTTTTTTATTGGTTGGCCTAATATGGCCCCAACGGATCGTATTTTTGTGAAAGATTGGCATTTTTGTCCAGATTTGTAGAAATTTGAAAAACGCTTTTCACAACTTGTCTCTTATTTAGTTGTATGCGTCATTCAAGATGGCGGCCCCCATATAGTAAATATCGTATTTATTTTATTATCACGTGTGCGCCAGCTGACTGTGGTCATAGCGTGTTACACTTGTTAGTAGGATACTTTTAGATTGCATCATTGTTAATGTCAAAGGTCACTTGATGTAACCCACAATGCTTTAGGGCACTTGTAATAAACATGGCGTTCTCCAAGTAACACTTACTGTGTGAGTCTGAGTCATGAATTAGCCTACCGTGCCTATCAGGCATAACACACTCTCCATCCCAGAGTTCTTAGCGCAGGCAGACTAACACCTCTGCCACACATGACTTCTCACGCTATGATTTGCCACATATCAATACGCACGTGTTGTTCGGTTTTTCAAGACGGCGGCCTATACCCAGTTGGCAAGGAAACTATTAAATCTTTCCCTTCCCATACACTTTCCATAACTTCCATCTGCTTTGGTTTCAATTCCACGTCTGAACTTTATTCATTCAGAATACGTTTTAAAGTTCTCGTGAACTCTTGATTTGCATAAATGCATAATAAACGTAATTTGAAGAAGCGCCATCTTGCGCGAAGAGTGAGCGTGTTATTGTTTACAAACAAGCGTCTACCACTCAATTCCCGAGCGTGCGCATGTGTCGACCCTCGCGCTTTAACATGATTACAAATTTTCTCATACACGTTTCTGTGTAGTTGTTTGATATCTGCGAATAATCTTTGCGTCTAAATAAGATTTACTGTGATGTGCATGTAACTAGACAATATCGACTTAAAACAAAAAAGTGTGACAGAGGCCTAGCTGGAAGTGGATAAAATAGGAACAGATCTCGGAAATATGTATGCTTAAACCGGATGGAAACACTAAAGTAATATACAATAATTGTATTAAAACTGTGATGTAAATACAGTAAATCTAAACAGTTGAAAATGTAATGTGGGAATTCTATTAAAAGCGGGGAGTCGTCAGCTGCGCATGCGTCAGATGGCCATAGCAAGTCATTGTTTTCAAACAAGCGTCTACCTATAATCCTTTGCGTTTTTAGCGTGTGTTGTTATCATCGCTTGGGACGACCCTCTCGCTTTAACATGCCTATTGTCCATAGTTTTACGCGCGCAATGGATAATTACCTTCGTTTGATAAACACACAAGTGACAAATCACCGTCTGATTTTCGCTGTAATGTACATCTCGTGTTGAAAAACTTTCTATAAATGGAAATGTGTTTGATTTGTAATGTCATAACATGTAATAATAACGATGACGTTAATATTTTAAATCCGTGGTGTATTACGTTATCATGATGGCTTATGGCTACTTTGTTTCCCGTAGAACCGTGTGCAGATACACACACTTACTGTTGGAGCGGTTGGTATCCGGTTTTGTGCGGACATCCTGACTGGAAATTCGTTGACACATACTGTCCCTTGATGTGCGGTCATTGCGGTCAGTTCACTCATTGTAACATTATTTAAAATGTTATGATATAGAAAACCTTCTTCCTTCTTCCGTTTATTTCATTATTATCACAGTCCCTCTATCTCAAATAAATGGAATGTTTCATTATGTGTTTCTCTGATTGCATGTGCATCTGCCCCCCGCCCCCGATTATCTGAACACGGTAGTCGTACCCTTTTTCGTAGTGTTGTTTCATGTTTGTTTTTAAATATTCTAGAATCGGGACCATATAACCCAGATCTTCATTGCTGTGACGGACAGGAGTGTGCCACCAACGTTACTGATGGGAGTACTTGTGAATGCATTTGCTTTGCAGACCGTGGTGACAAGTATTCTTGTGGTGAGTGTCTATTAACTCAAATGTTGGTATTAAGGTAAAATTCCATCAATAATTATTTTATTATTAGACCTCAACTACAATGCAACAGCATATAATATTAGGAACTATTGTACCGCCAACAAATGATTGATATCCAACTGACATGTTTCTTAGCTAAGTCACCTCGATCGTGTTTCACCCAACATATAGTTGTAAACTCCTTCACTGAATCAAATTCAGGATTTCTTTTCAGATCTTCTCATCGATCCAACAACATCAACGAGAAACGACGACCTCAGCATGATGACTACCAATATTACCATGGCAAGAACCTCGACGCTGATAGATAACAGTTCTCAATTGTCTGATAGTCCTGGATACATAGTTTTAATTGTAATATTAACTCTAATGTTCACGTATATACTTGTAACCTTTACAATTATTTGCCTTGTTTGCCTTAAATCCAAGTTTTCCACCAGATACATACGTACAAAGACAGGTTCAATTGATTCCTCAACATCCAATGTCTCGAATCAATCGAGTAAACGTGTATGCTGGGCATGAGAGTTGATTTATAAATCATAAATGTTCGTATTTGCATTAATCGCAATATATATATACTGAAGATATACTAGTAGTTCCGTATTCGGTAGGTGAAACAATACAGAATACGTGCGGCATGAGAAAACCTTAAACTATTACGAATAACGCCGTATAATCGAATGTGGTATTTTACAAAAATGTAAGTGTTCATATGTTTATATATCTGCATTATTTCTGTGTGATGTACTTACTGTCTGACATCCTTCAATCGATCGAATCTAAGCGAGAGTCTTGAAATCGCCTGTTTGTATAATTGCCTCTCAATGTCGGATAGTTGATATAATATAAATTAAAATTATCAGAACGATTGTAGGTATAATTTGAGATACGCTGAAACGTACTTTCCCCCTCAGACTTGTGTAGGGTCTGGTTACCACGTGATAGGATTGCAAACATCCATGGGTGACTGACAATGTACAAATGAGTGTTATGAGCAATTATTACAGTTCACACACAAATTCAAGAGACGCGTTCGTATAAATTAAATACGCGATGTACGCATGCGTAAAATCAACCAAACATTAAACAAAGTGATAAATAACTAGTATGCTGCTTGAAAACGCAATGTAAACAATATAGATCACGATAATGGTACGTTGAATTCTAAAGAGTCCTCACAAACTAATATATATATATAGTCACAATATAGACAGTTCGTCAACAAACAAACATAGCCAGATAACTGCTAAATTATATTCCTTGTTCTCCGGAAAATCCTGGCAAAACCCCGGGCCATTGTGAAATGTATGTGCATGTTCCGGGAAGCATGAATTGTATGAGTATTATGCAGCTGCTTTGTGTACTGAAACCAAATAAAATGCACCAACACAAATATCAACCACATAAAAACATACTTGAAATGCATCAAATACTACAAACGTATATATTTCATATATATATATATATTTACATATTTATATCATCCATTCATTAACTGTTGGACGAAATACGTTATATGTGTATTTCAAATACACCAATTCCATACTTTTGCTTTTGACATTCCTAAGATTTAATTAAGACATCGATTTAAATGGCACAGTCTGCTCTGTGTCGGAAATATCTGCCATGCCTCAACTACCAACGATGACGGTAAGAAATTTACGTCCAATACAAAACTTACACATTTTGATAATTGTGCCTTTGATAAGTAGCTGCATAATTGGTAATGTTTTGTGTGGCGTATTCAAGACGGTGGCACTTCTGTTTGTGCTTTAAAGGTTGGAACTAAGTGTTAGGGTTTACAAAACTTTCAAATTCGTGAGATGTATCCTTGTGTTTCGGGAATAAAATTAAAAATAAATTGTCACTGACGTCACGGTCACTAAGTTCGTCTGTTGGAAGTTATAGATAGGCAACAAGGTTAAAGGGCGATAGTTGTCGCGCTGCGCATGTGTGACATTAGTGTTGATAAACATTTGTTTTTCCCACAATCCAATGCGCTCTTCTAATGGAAATCTCAAGTATGAGGTTTGACCAGGGCACGACTAGCACTAATTATTGCCGGTGACTCCTTCGATACCTTCCAATCACCTAAAAAATACCTAATTAAAAGCTTGGTAACGTCTCAGTTCGTACTCGTTGATCTGCGCAACAGTCAAAGCAAAATCGCCATCTTTGTTTATATGAGACCATATATCTTGCGCATGCGTGGCGCGACGACTACCGCCATTTTACCAAAACGAATGGAAGTAACATGAAACATTGTTGCCATGGCTGTATCAAATAGGGAACAATACACTTCAATCAATATCATTTATACAACTCTAGCTTAGGGGGTTGTTTTCTGTCTACCTGATCCAGTGTGTAAAACCTATTTTTCATGGTTTTGTGATGAACTTGTTTGCACGTAACTGTTGATCGACTTAATTAGCTGATTACTAGCGAATGGCTGTGTTATGTCTGTCATCGTTTAGGCCCATGCGAGGTTCTGGACGGAGCTTGGTTCAATGATTTGGAACTAATTACGATATAACCGTCGCTATTCGGACTACTATTTCTGACAGTTGGTATTCGCAATTACTAATATAGTGAACGATTAATCAAAAGATATGACGTGTTCAGTACTTAGTGTGATTGGCTTTATGATTGAAGGTTACGCCCTAGAGTCTTTATACTGCTTTGTAATTGGTTAAGGTTTTGAAAGTGAATAAAGAGAGTTTAGTTGGTCTTGGCGAGTACACCAGGAGATACGCAGTCTAAGGCAGTCTTGGAGAGTCTAGGGACAGAGTCTTGGGTCAGCCTTGCGATAGTCTTGGGGACTTTTCCCCAAGGCACTGTGTCTTATAGAGTGCTCGACTGACCGACTAAGACGAGAGTTGAAACGTATTTCGTTGTGTGTGTCTTATTTGACTGTAAAGTTTAAGTGACTTTCCCGATCCCGCACCTCAAGGGGATTCCCCCCTGACACGTGTGGAGAACCCCAGTGAGAAGAATTTCCCCCTCATAGTTTTAGCAGTAGTGTTAAAAGCTGTAATATGTTATCAGACTGCTGGCATGACATTTGTCATTCGGTGGACAATTTAATCGACATTGTTAAGCATGTTAAATAGATTTTAAACAAAAAAATAATTAATTATGCGTGTATTCATCGAGTTCCACATCTTAAGCCTCTCTGTCATTAAAGATCTAATTGCTTTCAATATTTTGTATGTAGTAAAAGATTTTTGTTTTCATTTCTTCACGATATCTTTTCTTTTAGCGGGTATATCGGGGTACTTGTTGACTGATTTCTTGTAAAGAAGTTATTAATGTATTCCCCAAAACTGCTAGTTCGATTGGCCTTTTATTGATCTATATGAAATATGTAACCAAACGATTGTAACTGCCTTGGCAAAAAACATAAAAAAGACTACCATGGTTTGTGATGTGGCAAAAACATTGTTGACAATAACCATGGCAATTAAGTTATCTCACATTAAAGAACATTAACAATTTTGTTTTGAGGGAGACGCTCGAAAAAAAGAGGAGAGCTATTTCGACCAAGAGGTTTCTTGTTATATTTTGGGTAACACAACCCTCTTCAATGGTAAATAGGCACTAAAAATACGTAAGGAATATATATAGGTTTACTTAATTTTATTATTTTATGTTTTTGTTACTTAGTTCAACAAATGTAAAAATTCTAATGACAAACTTAGATAATAACCGCACAAATCAAGTAGATAAGTAATCAAACGATACACAGTAACATAAACTAGAATTTAATTATGATGAAATATTAATATAAATATAATAATACTTGTTGACAACTCAAGTGCAATAAACTGGAAACCCCTATATTTGCAATTCGCCCAATTAAGCTATTTAATTCAACAAATGCATTAAACACTGCAACGTGTTTATGAACAAACAAGGTTAAACTATTTTATAATTACAGATGATTAAATTTAAATCTAAAATGTAATAACGTTAAATCAATTAAACCTCAACCATAATACATCGAATTCAGTCATAGTCGTAATCAATGTTCACAATGTACTTTAATTTGTGATATCCTATCATATGATTTAACCACAAATAAACTGAAAAGCTTATTTGTTCTAATCATTATTGAATAAATAAAGCACATCGTGAGATGTATCTTAGAGATGTATTTATATTTTGTTGTATTAATTAGACGTCGTGGACTTTCCCACATCATAAAATGCATTCTTCCGGTAAACTGCACAATGCTCAAGACAGATTGATGCCGCCATCTTGTTCACTTCCCATTCGTCATACTATGAGTATCTAGAATTTTGATGACAGTCGCGACTAAATGTAGACTTCCGGTGACCAGAACCTGCACATGGTCTGCTTCCATGATACATTGCGGTGGTGTTGGGTCCTCGGATCTCGGCTTTGGCATAAGAGAATCCTTGCCACACGACGCCCACCTCAGGGCATGCATTACGCACTCAAAACTCACAGATTGTGTTTCTCGAGACAGTTGTTCTTCCAATGTTAGCCATGTGTTTCTGTTCGCTTTACACACTTCCCGTCCTTCCTCTATTGTTTCAATGTGGATTAATTCATCTAGAATACAATATCATTGAACACAGTCTATACACAAGTTGTTCATCTGAATTGGACAATGTTGAAGTTGAAGGGCGGCAGTCGTCGCGCCGCGTCCTGTTCAATATGGGACTCATAGCGACGTATACAACGCGCGTAAAATATATTATTTATTTACATGAAATTCGAACACGCGCTGCGCGACGACCACCGCGCTTTAAATTTATAGTCTTGGGGGAATTACTGTATTGGCTGGAGGCGTTCTTGTGTGCATGAAATGTGCCCTAAGTTTCTCTTCGGATTTTTAAAGTGAACGATCTGACGTACAAGAAAAGTTAGCACAGACATTTGGCAATGCGTGAGGGAACCCGCGAAGTCGCAAACGAGGTCCTTTCTATTTTTTTTTACTGCAGTATAAGTATCGACATGGGTATAAGACGGCTGTTTTTGCGATTATTTAATTGTTTTGAATTGTCGTGTGCATCCAGAAAAAAATGCCCACCTTTCAAATCTTCTTCACACTGAGCATCAATAATATTTGGAGAGAAGGCGACAGCTGAGAAATTACAATCCATTAGATTTCTTATGAAAACCTTTTCATCTCGGCCTCTAGTACAATTGAAAACCAATACTCGTGCAACGGCATTTCTGTAACGAATAATTTTACATACTGCTTTACAAAAGTGTTAGGTGTAATGGTGGCCATTATGCTAATTACAGAATACATTGTTTATGTGATATTTATTCCGTATTAAAAATCCAGGGTACAATTGTCTGTTTACGTACTTCAGTGACAATTCTTCTGCTGCCGAGGCTTGTATAAACCATTTGACACAGGCCTCGATACTTGCTCTTGTATGAGCTCCATCTAAATAATATGTACTATTCTCACGTTTTATAGTCTGTGTACGTCCGGGCCAATGGCAGTTACGAAGTCCTGTGCATTTGCAATAAAATTGAAAGGTCAATATGAAATAATTTTGGAGATGGTAAATTCCCATTACGTAATTATAATAACTTCAAAATCATGTCTAATGCTGTCTTCAATCGACTACATGGGGCAAGTATTTCGATATTATTGTTATACTATAATACAGCCCGATCTACCATGGCGGAAAAGGTTACACATTCCTTTTCTAGACTGTTAAACAGTTGTATGTTGATACCAATCTAATTGAGTAGTAAAATATTTTTTAAACTACAAAGTGTATTTTAAATTAAATACATATTGTATTTTTGCAATATGGAGAAAATTTCTAATGAAAAACAAAATTTTAAGGCTGTAATTTCATCTTGAAGTAATTACTCATAACACTAATAAAACGTTTGGCTTAAGAGATTTGGTCAAACAGGGAGGGTTACTGTAGACGCAACTTCTCTGGATACCTCCTCGTCAGTCATGTCTCGCTAATTTGCAATTCCGCCAGCTAAAAGGTTAGACTACTTCGTGACGAAACTTTTAAAAACATTGCAATACATTAAATAGATATTCCTAATAGTATAACAACTACAACTTAGACTGGTGCCCAATTACAACAAATTGACCAAATAGCTGATTGGATTGGCTGATTAGGGGTATTCAATGTTTACACACTAATTATATCAATACAAGTTTTCCTTACCGTATATGAACGTATCAGGTAACTTGAATGCTGGCGCTGTCGGAATATTGTCATCCAAGGTATCATCATGTGTTTTGGAGCTTCCAGAATCAGGTGTCATGACAGAAAGACCTAATAACGCCAGAGAAAATTGTTATAGATTTTTGCAAGTGAAATTTTGCAAAACATAAATATGTGATTGTGTAAAATATCTCTATTTATTAACAAATATTGGACATTAAATAAACCAATATTCGCCCTGGATATTATACAATGCTAGTATTTCATGGCATATTCAAATGATTAGTGTGCAAATGCATGAATAATGTGATAAGTCGTTTCAGTGGCGGTGGCACAGGGGGTGCCCCTTCGCCAAAAAAATGTTGGGGGGTGTCGCCCCTCCAAAATCAACAAGCAGAAACCTATTGTGTCAGCAAAATTTACCCCTCAAAATGCAGAAAATAGCGTTTCAGAGGGTCTAGATTTCAAAGTTTTTAAGGTCGCGCCTTTGGTGCGAGGTTGGTGATCAGATCTCGCCCCTCCAAGTAAATTTTTTCCCCGCCGCCTCTGTCGTTTTCTGACATAACAGTCAGTTAGCCAATAGCTATTCTTAGAACTAATGAAACCGCAATTTATCTGTGTAAAATTCTATATTCAATTTTCGCGAAAGGTAAATAGTCAATAACTTGAGTTTAGCATTGGTGTTTTAATAAAGTACATTTCAATAAACCAGGTATAGAATTTGACACATTTAGTTTGAACCATGGTAACCAACATACTTACTTGGGTTACGCTCCTCTATCCACGCCTTACATAGCTGTATCGCTAAAGAAGCATTATTCTGTTGATGAACACCTGCTAAGCCAAGCTGCATGGGTTGTCCCTGCCAATCATAATCTTTTAAGTCTGGAACAAGCTGAATCGGGGCCTAAGACAATAATGGCTTAATATTAACATTTTTTTTTTCATTGGTAAAAATAGTTTTTTTTTGTGTTGTTTTTCTGATATTGCTATATTATTGTACTATATTATATGTGTAAGAGAATAAAGATTGAGTTGTTTCCATATTTAGGAAGGGACAAGTGTTCATACATGTACACGACTGAAGTAGGTATTAATAAAACATGATCATACAACATAATATCGCAATTAAGTAAAAATAACATCCTAATATGAAAGTTGCATGAGAAAATGTACATGTCCAAGAACACCAAACAAACATCTGACAAATGCACTACACTAGATAGTCAAATCCTCAAGAGAAAGAGACACGGACTCCATGGTAACCATGAAATGATATCAGGTATATCGAAAAGAGTGAACACATTCCACTGCGCATTTACTACACATATATCACTGTTAATGTTATACACACGTGCAGCTCCCTGGCTCTTGCTACCAAGGCATCCATTGCTTCTTTTGGCTGTGGTCCTGTGAATGCTGGTCGACCAGGCTGAAAACAAATCAGAGAATTGATGATTTGACATTTTTCCATTTCTTGTACGTGATAGTTCTTCGTGGAGCATTGCATGCAGACTAATATTCCCATTGAAAAAAAAATTACGTCTTTTTTAAAGATATTGTATAAAATGCTGGCTGATAATAAGCACTGTTTACTACCTTGCATATGCCGGCTTTATGCCATGCTATTTTAGCTAGAGTGTCTCCTAAAGTGTCTGTATGGTCCAGGTCTAGAAGGTTGATACCAGTCACAACGGGATCTCGCACAACATTAGTCACGTCATATGCACCACCTACATTGACCTCAAGAACAACAGCTTCAACCTGCACAGAAAAATAACACTTAAATTTAAATGGCACTGGTCGTCGCGCCACGCATGCGCCAGATATGGTTCTCATATAAACAAAGATGGCGATTATGACTGTTGCGCACACAAACAAGTCAAACTGACACGATACCAAGCTTTAATTTGGTATTTATTTGGATGATTTTAGATTTTATACTCGAAAGAGTCATCGGTGGTAATTAGTGCAAATGGTGCCCAAGACAGAGTTTGTACTTGATTGAATTATAAAATCGCACTGGATTGTGGGAAAATCAACGTTTATCAACACAAATATCGCACATGCGCGGCTCGACGACTACCGCCCTTTAACTATAATGATACAGTGTATAATAATACACCTAGACGATGGAATTGTTGGATCACAAGTGTTGGATCACCTCGTTCTGTTTATTGTGCCAGAATTGGCGAGTGCTGCGTCACCAGGAATGTTAATTACATACTAGATTATCGAAACCCATGCGAATTTATCAGATTAATGTTATAGTGAAACACTATTGAAAGCATGTTTGTTGTTGAATGTGGGGCCCGAGGTAGGCATAAGTTCTCAACTTGTGTAAAATCTCTTTTCATGTATGAGAATGTGAGTATTGTAAATATATGCGAAAATAACACAGTAACATTTGAACTATTATGAATACTGTCGAAGTCAATAAATATCAAATCAAATCTTACCTTTTCCTGTAAGAACACGTGAAATGCCATAATTGTCTGAAATGTAGCAACGAACGGCATAGATCCGTTAAATTGATCTTTAGAAGATTCTAATTTTCTATATACATCAAAAAAATATTTGCTATAATCATCTCTTGTTAGAGGCACACCATTAATTCGGAATCTTTCACGAATTTCCAGCAAATGTGGGGAGCTGCGGAAAACGGGAAAATGTGTTTATTATGTTATTACAAGTTTGTGTCGATGTGGATCCAGTCACCATAGAAACATCATAAAGGTATGGATGCATTCACTGGAGTTTGCAGGGATAACCAAGGATTGGATGATTGAAGTAATGTGTAACTGGTTACCATGAAAATAAACCAATCTGGATGGATATTTCAATAATAACTCAAACAGTTATGGACATGTGAACAAGTACCAATTGGTTAGAGGCTGGTTGAGAATAAGAATAATAATGCTTTAGTGACTACTGCCAGATAACTAAGAAGTTGACAAATGTTCCTGACATATTTAGAAGAGTTGTCCTTTAAACATAAGCCAAGATCCAAAAAGATCCTGACACACCTGTAATGGGGACATTCAAAACATCTCACATATGAAATGTCATTAAGACTATTTGATTCCTGGAATGAGTTAAACCCGCCAACTTTGTGAATAGCAGAATTATTCCAGCATTTGTAGAGAAAATATTTTATCTTTGAGTGAGTCGCGGTTACTAGAATATGTTAACAAATCAAAGACAATTAATGTAATTATGTACTGGTATTATTGTTGCATACCTGTAGAATCCTGTTCTTATCCCATGTGCCCGTAATATGCTTTCGCAGAAGGCGCATACAGACCCTTTGCCCTTCGTACCACTTACATGAATAATGGAAAGACCGTCGATATCATCAAGCTGAGAACAAAATAAACCAATTGCAATCAAGGGTGAATGTTGAGCATGTTCTTGCATATTGTTGGATATTTGACAATGATTTCGAATCTCCCTTATATACACGAATTGAACCTCCAAGAATTCCATCTATTTTGGAAATGGATACCAAGTTCTATTATGTGAGAGCTACACAATATGAACAACATTCCAATCGTTGTGCTATTTAAACAGTATATTTATTAAATAACATTTACATAATCCTATAATTGTGTATAGAATACATAACAATAACTTTGCATAGAATATACGAGGTAATAACCTTGTATGAGGTACAATGAAACAAGTCATCTGAAGATGACACAGCCCCCACTTGTCAGATGTGATTATAGTTGATTATGAATTATAAAGTTTGAATGCATAAAATCGGGTAGGAAGATTAAGTTGAAAATCAACATTACAAGGCACATAATCCACAAGATATTAACAAAAATTAAAAATTAATTAAATATGCAAATCAGCCCATTAATTAGATTGAAACTCAATATTGCATGGCACATATCTTATATTGACAGATCAAGTAAGTCTATACCAAATTTGGTCTCATTCGAAAAATTAGTTCACAAGATATTAAAAAAAAAAATCAAAATTAATTAAATATGCAAATTAGCTCGTTAATTAAATTAAAACTCAATATTGCATAGCATATATCCTATATTGACAAATCAATGTGGACTATAAGTTCAAATTAATAATTAATTATGCATCATTGAAGTCATACAAGGCATCTCTGAGAAATACCAATGGACAGACAAAATCCATGATTAACAATCAAAATGGCTGCCAGTCGGCCATATTTGATTATTTCAAAAAAGTTAAATAACGTGCACATGTATGGTTGACCACTATGTCTTTGTACCAAGTTTCAAAAAAATCGGTCAGCCATCTCCGAGAAATCACTCGGGACGGACTGACGAAGGTGAAACTACCAGACCCCCGGACTTTGTCCGGGTGGCGGCTAATAATAAGGGACAGTAACATTGTATAGGCGATTTCTTTCTCTTCTGCATCAACTGTCAGTCAAGAATTATTTACAAGATTTACAATGCATTTGAATGTTTCAAATATATACACATAAAACAGTGTTAGTGTTCCTAATTAACAATGAATACTAATTAAAAAACAATCAAAATCATTACTCACGGTGATATCAGCTCTTTTCAGATCATCTATAAATTCTGGTATTTGTCGACTAGCATACCACCCACCATCCTCGATTACTTTCTTGATAAGTTCTTTGTTTTGTGGAAGAGTACGCAGAATTCTAAGAGCTTCCTGTTAACATATATGTCATAAACACAATCGGAAACAGCGCTCTGACAGATGGAACCATACTCGTGTATTGCACATATGCTTTGAAAATTGTTTTATTATACTTTAGATGACGGTTGAGCATTTAGTTTTTTCTATATTTAACGATATTTGTGTACGATTCATTTTCTATATTCTTCTGCAATTGTTATAATGTGACTCATATTTTAGGCTACGTAAGATAAACTTTAAATTATGCCTACTTTTGTGGGAATAGTGTATTGTCGGAGAAATAAAAAAAACACAAAGACAAATACAAGAGGTTTCCATTATAAATATTCGAACGCTTACATAACCGACGAGATCAATCAGCTCCATTTGAACACTAATTCCTTTATGAGCGTGATATTATCACTCATGACATCATCCAGGTTATGGCGGGGGAGTCGTCACCTGCGCATGCGTCAGATGGCCATAGCAGGTCATTGTTTACAAACAAGCGTCTACCCATGAGCTTTTGCGTTTTTAGCGTGTGTTGTTATCGTCGCTTGGG